TTTTAAAACAATTATTTATTTTGATTTTTTCTGTTTTTTCATTGTGGCTGGCAAGGTTACATCGATGACCTCACCGACTTAGTGACAGCAAGGTCGAGCCTCGCCAAGTTGTCGGCCACAATGAAAAAACAGAAAAAAAGAGAGAAAAAAACCTCAAAAATAATAATTTTTTTAAGAATTATAAAAATTGTCCAAGTAAGCATTGGCAGCGCCACATAGGATGTCTAGTGTCCACATCAGTGGTTTCCTACCAAAATTAGCCAAATAGACTGAATTGGCAAATTATTAAAAGATTTAGGACTAAATTGACTAAATTAAAAGGTTTAGGCTTTGGTAATTTTCCTCTTGTTCCAAGGCCTTATGAGGAGATAAAAAGAATAATAGGGAAATCAAATAAAATGTCCATCAACTTTGGGGTGTTACACTTTAGCTCCCGAATTTTTGACTTCTACACAATATTCTTTGAACTTTTACTTTGTTATGGCCGTTAACCCTCCGTTCTTTTTTTTGTTAGCATGTGCAATGCACATGACTTTTAAGGGATAAAAGTATGTTTCCATTTTGTTTATTTAGGGGAATCTCTCTTTTACACTTAATTACCGTTAAAAATGAAAATATGGAAAATGGGAGAAAAATAAATAAACTAAAGTACGAGTAATGGAAAAGATAAATATCTGTATAATATATGACAATAAAAATTTGTTAACATTAGACCAAAATAGCATAAATAAGATAACTAAAAAAAAACAAATTAAATGAAAAAGGAAAAGGTGTCAACAACAAAACAGTCATGACAAAAATCTAGTACTCATTATGTACATTTAAAGGGTTAATTAACTTAGATTAACAAAGTACTTTAAAAATTATGGCTCTATTTGTTTCATGGAAAATTTGACACTTCTAGAATATATTTTCCAAGCAATCAATTTTCAGGAAAATGAAAATATTTTCCTGTGTTTGGCTGAGATCTAGGAAATGAATTGGAAATTATTTTCCATCGCTTGAAAATAAAAAAATTTCTTTTATTTTCCCAAGGAAACATGCACTATTCGTGCAGTATAACTGCTATAGATGATATCTCATTAAATTTTCAATAAGGTTTTATTGAATTAAATTTTCGTAGTATAAATTCATTAATAGACCGTAAACAATTGTTTTTTTTTTCAATTATGGAACCCGGCATCTGGCGCCTAGGTGCCAGGCCCAGCCTTGGGTTACTTGGGATCGAAAGCAAAACCAAATAAAGTAAATGAAGCATGGGAAAATAAACACCCTCGTCGTATCAGGGTAAAAATAAACAAAATCTTGTTATTAAGCCCCGAAACAGGACTCTCATGAGTTATGAGTCAAAATCAAGTTCGCGCTTTTACAAGGTGTATGAATAACTTAATTCTCCAAGGCTAGGCTTGGGACCTAAGCACCGGAGGCCTGGCTCCATGAGACAAAAATAATCGTTTACAATCTACGAAAATATCTATGCTACGAAAATTTAATTCGATAAAACTTTATTTAAAATTTGATAATATATAGTACATATAACCTTTATGGTGCACGAATAGTGCACGTCTCTTTAGGAAAATAAAAGCAAGTTTGTCTTTTCAAACGATGGAAATAATATACAGTTCACTTTCAAATTTCAACTAAACACCGAAAAATATTATCATTTTCCTAGAAAATGACTTCTTGGAAAATCTTTTTCAGGAGTGTCAAATTTTTCGCAAAACAAACGTAGCCTTCAAGGTTAATTAATATTGCCGATTATTATTGTAGCAAGAAGACAAGGCCCCATGTTACAGTGCCAATCCTGTTCCATCAATTTTTTTTTTTGTTCTATCACTAGGTAAGGTAGCTTCTATCTCTTGATCTTGCTGTGATTTGAAATTAGTTATGTTGTTGCCATTCTATTCTCACGCTTGTGCTGGGAGTCACTAATTCAGCGCCATTTGTCAGTGCTTATATCATCCTGTAATACAATGCAAACACAAACATAAAACCAGAAAAATAATGTTTTAATGCATAAGAAAATCATGCTCCTCTCTATGCCTAAAGAATTGAAAGGAAAAACGGAAAGATTTTCATCGAATTGAGGGTTCGATTGAACTGTGCAGGGCTTTCATGAACCAAATTTTCTTTTTCTTTTTCTTTTTTTGGCTTGAACAATTCGTCCCATGATCGCACGTGCAATAAACAATCATCCTGAACATTTGTGTTCGCCCCGATCTTCAGGTGCTATACTAATCTTGGGGTGTGCCTGTGTTGCGGAAAATTATATGATCAAGGAAAATGTGTTCCATGGAAATTATTTTCAAGAAAAATTATATGTTTTCATTTATTTGGTGGTATGCTGAAAAGTATGATCGAAAACATTTGGGGTGTTTGGATCTCATTTGGATGAGAGATAAAGTTGAGAATATAGGAAATAAGAAAATGATTTCTTTCTTGTCATAAACGAAAGTCGTTTTTCCAATCAATTTTTTTTTGTTTTTAGTCCATGAAAAATGTTTTCCATTAATTAAGTAATTGTCCGTCATCCATATACTGAAAAGTTCGAAAACAATTTCCTGAAAATGGTTTTCATCAAACAAACTGACTCGATATAAGGAAATGTTTTCCTAAAATCATAAAATATTTTTAATGAACCATCATTACTTTGCATTAATTAACCATTTAAAAATACATAACAAGTATCCAAATTTTTGTCATTTGACCTTTTGGTTATTGAGCCCTTTTTTCCTTTCTACTTAATAGCTTTGCTTTTTTCTTGAGATATCTTACTGGTTGTGTTAATTTTTTTCATCAATTATTTTCTAAAATTATTATCGATATTTTTATGCTATTAATATATTAATTAATTTAATTTTCTCCGTTTTATTTATGTTTTCATTTTCTTACGGAAGTCAAGGGTAAAAGAGAAATTTCTATCAAAAATGAGATGAAAATGCATATTTACCACTTAATAAAAGTCATGTGCATTTCACATGCTAACAGAAAATATAACGGAGGATTAACAACTATAGTAAAATGGAAATACAGGGGGTAATAGGTAACACTTAAAAATTCAAGGGATTAACAACTATAGTCATGAGCAAATGTATACTACTCCAAAGTTCAAGGGAGTTTTATGTGACTTCCCCAAGAATAATTTTACCTTCTCAGCAGTGACGGAGCTAAAACGACAAAGAAGGGGTCGAAATTTTCATGGTGAAAAGTAACTAATTTTTCATTATTAACTTGTGTATAAAGGAAATAACAAATAGTAAAACGAGTTGAAAAAAGTAAAGAAAATTAATTTGGCTGGGCTATCCCTTCAATTTTGGCGAGCTGAGTTATATGTCCGGTCCTTAAGAATTATAGAAGGAAATTACAAAACTCGTCCTTGTATTATATTACACGAGTTCTGTTTTGGTCCTTGAACTATATTCCTAATACATTTAGTCCCCTAAGTTCTCTCCGGTGACAATTCAAGGACAAAATTCAACTATCTGTCTAACTATCGACGGAACAGACTGAGTCAGCACAGATAAATCAACACGTAGGGTCTACGTGTACAAATTTCTAAAAAAGTTACACTTGTGGTCCTCTAACATTTAAGAATGTGTTATTTTAGTCCTTATACTTTGTTTAGTTATAAAACTAGTCCTTAAATTATTTTTTGATAAAAACCTTATTAGAGATCTTATGAAAATGTCAATTTGAAGCAAATTATTAGTTGGTGATTTCTGCGTTTACAGGTAAGCACAATCAGGTAGATAGTCCCAGCAAGATTAATTCATCATATCAATAATTTAACATCCTCATTGTTACCATAGACCCATATAATAGTATCTAGGACTCCTTTGAAAAAAGAAATTATTGTTTTAAAATAATTTAACCACATCTTTAACTCTCTATTTTATAGTTAAAATAAATTAGAAAGTTTATAAGAAACGTTCAAATTATATCTTCAACAACTCTACATCATATTGATTGTAAATATTGCCTATGATAGCATCCATCTCAATAAGACTTTCAATCAGATTGGGCAAAGTTATAAATGTAGGAATTACCAATTAATACTTGGGTTTAATTTGACATTCTCACAACATTTTGGATTAAGCTGTGACGAAAGAAACTAAATTTTTGTTGAAAAATAATATGAAGACTAGCATTGTAACTAAAACAAATTACAAGGACTAAAACCGAACATTTCTAAAAGCATATGGATCAAAAGTGTGATTTTTTTAGAAATTTGTACACGCAGACGCCAAATGTCAGTCAGTGATGACTTAGCATATTCCGTCCACATTTGGACGCAAAATTAAATTATATCCTTAAATAGTCATTAGAAATAAGGTCGTCAAATGGGTGGGTTGGGTCGGGTTTGTGTCTGGTCGAAAATGGTCCCCAAATTGACCCATTTTGACTATTTATATGTAATACAAACTCAATGACCCATACATAATACATACTTGACCCGACTCATATTATTAAGACACATCAATATTTAATCCAACCTATGAGAACTCGTACCTACCTACTTAACATACTTTAAGCTCTTCACGTGAAGATGTTACTTGGATAAGAATTTCATATCAAATCAAAAAAGTAAATTAGCATAATAAAAAATGTTAGCAAAACGTAAAAAAATATTATGGATTAAAATGCTTATAAAAAAGTAGAAAAATGCGCATGTGTTGCGACATCGCATACTGTGAATGCATGTTTTATTGATTCAAGTCTATTTAATCCTTTTTTTCGCCAAATTCAATTTATCATTAAAACAATTAATAAGCGGAAGATGCATAACAACTTGTTAATTCAATCTGTGAGAGCAAAAGGCCTCGATTGTTATATTATTTTTCCTCAAATTGATTGAATTATAAATAAAATATGGGTTAATAAAGTGACCTATTCATGACCAATTTTTTGGCCCCTAGTTGTTTCTCGACGCAGTGCTAAAAATGAGTTACCCATATAACGAATTGGGCCATTAAGTCTAAGTCACAAAATGGGTTTGGGACCATTTTGCCGATCACTCTGCTCCAGCTTCATTTCCACCTCTTGTTGTTGTCCTATGCTTCCCTTTCTTGTTTATTGGTCAGACTTCCCTTTCTTCAACAGCTTGTTCCTCGGCTTCACGGGCTTCAGGAAGCTCGCCTGCAACATCACCATCTCCTTCAAAACCTGAATCAGCCTCCCTTCAACCTCTTCCCCATTCGTCTCCCCCACCCTCAATACCCTAGCCACCGCCTCCATCGCGCTCACGCACCCTCCATATGGCTCATTCCCCGAGTAACAATTCCGAAATCATAGATGCTCCCTCCATCGAGGCTCTCTCGTAATCGAAGCCCAAGTTAACTCTAACCGCAAACCGCGACAGGTACTCCTCGCTTGCGCTCACCATCTCTGCGCATGCTTCCGCGTGGCATCGAAGGCAATCACCACGAGCCCCTCGGGGCTCGGCCCTTCGAGGGAGATAGGTGGCTTGGAGCTGCGACAGGGTGAGGGAGAGGAGGAAGAGGGTGGGAAGAGGTAGATGGAGGGAGGGAACCGGTCGAGGAGAGGGGAGAGCCCCAGGCGGAGCTTGCGGTGGAGGAGGACGGTGGAGTTGAGGAGGCACTGCGGGAGGACCGGGATGGTGGAGAGCTTGTGGCGTGACTCTCTATCACGCGTAAAAATGAGGGAGACATGGCTCACTAAAGTGACCCATTTGTGACCTGTTCTGGGGCTTTAATTTTTTTCTCAACCCAATTTAGCCTGTTTTACAAAAAATGTGAGTTACCTACGCTAAATTGAGCCCGCTAAATCTGAGTCACAAAATGGGTTTGGGGACCATTTTGCAGGCTCTAATCAGAGATAAGTTTGGGGACTTAATCATAACGAAATATAGTACATAGAACAAAATTGAATTCGACTAGTTTTATAGGGACGACTTTTGTAATTTCCCCCAATTATACCAATTGACTATTTCATCCTCTGATAATAATTAGTAACTTGCAAGGGCTAGAGTGGCGGCGATAGCTCTTGCTTGTCCCTCCCTAGCTCCATGTTCGTTTCAGAGCATCTCGATCTTGATAGAATTTTCTACAAAGGTGATGGGCCTTACGGTTTTGGAAAATGTAGGTTTTGCCTACCATGTTTGAACTTTTTGAGAGCTGGATAAAGAAATCGAGAACACATCTTGTTGGAAGTTTAGCTTGAAACTCAAGGAGGTTAGAGGTGCAGTGTCAAGGGGAAGATGGTTTTATGAAGGGTTTTACTAGCATAACAGTCTTTGGGTTTCACAATATGTCGTGAGCCATAAATTATTGAAGGAGTGGAGTACACAATAATTTATAATTATTTGTAATTTATTTTTTTATGGACCAAAATAGGCTATTAATCTCACGGTGGATTAAGAACAATCACTTAAGCATTTCTCTTTTGTGAATGGTCAACACAAATTGTCCACTTGTTTTCGGGTCTAACTTGCACATTTTCCGAAACTTTATTTGGAGATCTCGTAGGTTTGAGACTTTGATGGAGAAAGATTAGCAAGACACCCCAAGCCAGGCAGGGTCATAGTCTGCCCAGAAGATTAGAATTATTGGCTAAAGTTCACTAGCCATTTCTCAAAATTAAAAGATCAAGGGAATAGCTCACACTATGCTAAAAAAATTCAGACATACATAACATGTTTCACACCCCGAAACCAACAATAATGGGGGATGACAAAGCCGTCCTTTTTCCACCCAAAGAATGCAACCTAAAAAAGAAACCAACAACCTGTTATCTTAATATATATATATATATATATATATATATATATGATAAATTAGGAGGTTGGTTATAACATCGGAGTTTTTATAATCCATAAAAAAGAATATGTACATCTTCAACTAACAACTAAACTCAGAAAACTCATCTCAGTTATATACAACTCAAAAGTAAACAACCAACTAAGTTCATACCAAAAAATCCCCCTATCTAAAAGCCTCGGCAATAACACGAGTGCTCTCATCTATCTGTCGCTAACCAAAAAACTTAAAGAACATGTAAGACGAATGAAATGAGCAACCATAGAATAGTGAGTAGAACATTTCTTCTAAGCTTATCGAGCATTCAATATGTACGTTTAAGATACAAAACCGTAACTCATCTACACCAAATCGAGAATATAACAAACTTACAAGATCAAGATGAGTTATATAATACTTCAACCTACTATACTCATAGTAGAAATACCCATTTCATCAATAATATCAAAACAAGTATCAACGATCTAGTTCATTGATCAATCTCATTAAATCACACGTCAATGGTCAATTCCAATGATCAATCTCATGCCCAGATATCTAACCATGATCACGCTTAATGCCTTATCACAAATGCGACCAAGATACTCTCCTTGGCTATGTCTTTACCTATATTGCCGATGGCCAGCCCACAATGATATCCTCAAACTAGTATGTATAACACAAATCCCTTAATGGGCTCACATAAACACTGAGCATCAACACAAAGCCACAACAACATGCTCCAAAATCCATAAAGCCAATCCGAAATCTATATCACAAATTGATTTCATACACCAAAACATATAATTTTTCGCAACTCGGTTCATCCCCTAGAAAAAGTATTTGTCAAATCATTTCAGAATTCATTTCACAAATTATAGTAGCTATATATATATATATATATATATATATATATATATATTTCACAATACATTTCCTAAAACCATTCACAAATACTAAAAGTAGTAAATGCTCGATCTAGACTTTTATGCAACAAAAAATGCTATTTCATGACTCATACTATATATATTCCATATTGCTTTGAAATATGAATTTACAAATTCAAAAAAGAGATAGCACCACTCACTTAAGAATACCCAACACTAAACAACACAATTATATGAGCCGACATCTCGTAATCCTATCAATTAAGTGAGAATCGACGTTAAAACCAGGTAAAGCACTACTTTAACTAATGGCTTGACTAAATTACACTTAATGGCTAATAAAATGACTCCCACGCGATAACAAATTGCTAGCCCCAAAGTGATTATTTAAAGTTATTCACAATGCGGAGCTTGCACGCGAAACTCTAAAATTTCACTCTAACTAAACCATTAATTTAAATTGACTCCTGTAAAACCCCACAGCTCCACAAAGCCCTAGTTCATGATTTCCATAAAATTCCACAACTTAACAACCACAAATTGGACCTCGTAGTTCAAATTTCACATAATTTGAAATTTGTGTTCTAGTTCCGAAAATTACTACGATTAGACGAACAAAAGGCGTAAATCCTCACCGAGCATCGTGAAACGAAGGCTTAGCGAGGTATCTATAGCATCTACATGCAAAGTCCTCTTTTCCTTTTCCTCTCCTTTTCTTTTCTTTCTCCTTTCTTTCTTTCCTTTCTTCTCCGTTCTCTGCGTGCTCTCATTTTCCCTGTATATTTCTTTTTCTTTTTTATAAAGCCCACTTTTGACCAAGTCTAAAAGAAGGGCCAAATGTTGCGACATGATAGCAGTAGCCAGCCTCAGAGTCGGAAGCTAGTGTCAAACACTTGAGAATCATGGCGGGGGTTATGTTATACTCGTCCTCCCCCATTCTAAAGAAGATCAGAGTTGAAGTACACTTCTTCCGGAACATACCCAAAGTTGCAACTGTCATAAGAACCAAGAAGACCCAAACTTCGCATTCATTGCCAAGGACTTTCAAGGACATCTCATTTCAACTACCCCAAGTTAAATGTTTGTATCTTATAATCCGCCGCTATCCACAACTCACCTCTCATTAGCCACCATAAAATCCAACCAATTCAACACTCGATACTACATAATTTAGAAACTCATTCAACAACTATGAAAAATGTGCATCCTAGTGTTTTTCTTTTTTTTGGTCGAAGTGCATCTTAGTTGATTGCCTTGGATTCAACCTAGTCACAGTCTACTGCAAATGAAGGCCAGAGGAAATGCATACATCGGCAATGACAACACATGGATGTTGGCATCAGGTCTCAACTGTGGGCTCGGGCCTAAATGGCTCTGAGCAGGATTTTTGGTATTGGCAGACAGAATTGAAAAGAATATCCTTTATAATTGTTTGCACCAAGAAATGACCAATTTTGGGTATTATAAACAAGTAATAGACTTAGTTGATGAGAGCAGAGTTCGGTCATTTATGAACAAAATTATCAACAACTTGAAGAATCAACAACTTGATGAATCGACAGCTTGAAAGAATCGACTAGAAGTGGAGTCAACAATTTCGGATGCAACAACGTAGTGGAATAAAGCAACCGTCAAGATAGTAGAGTCGATTAAATTCCGGCATTGCATCCTTGCATTCCCAAGCTTTGTCGTTGATTAAATTCCAGCATAATTTGTGTACGTTCGTTTCCGTTGAAGTTGTCACGCCCCGAACCCCAACGAGCTCGCGACATCCCGCTCCGGTCGAAATATTGCGACGTCCAAGGAACGTCGCCGACCCAACCCAAACATCAGAGCCACATGCGGAAGCGAATAACAAAACCCCGGACAAATAATGACGACAACGGGGTAGAACAACAGAACAATCCAGCAACCATATATTCATACAACACCAAATATACAAACATCATATTACAGACATAAATACAGACGAACATACTCCGCCACCGTTTTAATAAAAGATCAAGGTCTGGTTAACTTAACTTCCCTATGGGTCAACCCGATTTACACAACCCCTAAAATATCCTAGGGAAAGCCTACTGGTCGCCCTTCCGCTCTGCTTCTGATTCTTCGGGTTTGAGCCTCCGGACACTCACCGCAATTCCACCAGGCACCAAAGGCGGTTCCTCGAACTTCCAAAAAGAGGAGGCAAACTTCCCGGGTCTAAGGCTGGGGGTCTGAAAGTGGCGGTTATACAACCGTGAGACGAATCTCAATAAGTGTACAACCCCAAACCCCACGTAGGCACTCACGTACCGCCAGACGAAAACACGCATAACACACAATCTATCAACCAAACTAACAATCACACGCGACCCTACCTGAAATTCCTCACGCACGTCCCTGCACGTTAGTCAACCACACAGCCAGTATGCCACAGAAATACATCACAACCGCGCGCGTGCCCCGATTATAGAGCAAAACCCACTTGGGCACGTCCCATACCATGCCTAGCAGTTTTTACCCCATAATCGAGCATCACACCACGCGATACAAACACACTCAACACGAACTCACACCACACGTCACCTTTCACAATCCTCTCACTCGTCTTGCCAAATTCACTCATTCTCAACCCTTCCACCACTACCGCGCCCGCGTAAAACGCATCAGGCCAACGGTCTTCTGACCTCGTCAGGCATCGTCACCCCGTCGGGCCGGGCATCGTCACCTCGTCAGGGACGGCATCGTCCCGCGTAAACGTACACGCCTCAGGACGGAATCCTACACACACTTTCCTTCTACCGTGCCCGCGTAAAACGCATTAGGCCAACGGTCTTCTGACCACGTCAGGCATCGACACCTCGTCAGGCCGGGCATCGTCACCTCGTCAGGGACGGCATCGTCCCGCGTAAACGAACACGCCTCAGGACGGATCCTTTCCAACCAATCCCACATTTCCAAACCTTCGTTCCACACTCTCTACACGTACCACGCCACCACACAAACACACTGCCAAACATACACACTTCACACACATTCCATAATTTCGCATTCTCATCACACGAACACGCACCACTTAACCACACGCTCTTGGCACGCGAATTCAATGCACATTCACATCACCATATCACCACACTTCACGGCTACACAAACACGGCACGCCACCACACCACATTCAGCCCAATGCACAAACCAAATCAGCCCACAATGATTTCCAAGCCAACCAACAAGCACAATCACACAACCACGCACAAATTTCCATTCAAGGCACAATCCCATTAATTAATCGCACAAATTAATTCCGATCAAACCCCAACATCACAGCCCTAATCCAAGCTCCCTAAACCTCAAAATTTCATCGCCTAATCAGTCCGAGAGAGATAAAAACCGAGAGTGAACAAAA